ATTTTAATAAATCTGATATTAGGGACCGTATGTTTGCTATGTCAGATGATTTATGACCATATTAGCTAAACCTAGTGCTAAATTAAAATGTTTAAGACAAGCAATTACAGGAATATGACAAATTGGCTGTTTCTCGACAGATGCCTAGTCCATTCACCAGTCATGTTATTGATTTTGCATCCAAAGAGCATTATACAATACACTAGACATTAACAAATGTGATGAGAACATGACATTTCTGCATCCCTTATGAGCTACTAGGAGATTGGGTTGGATTTTCAGTGGGGTTCTGAAGGAAGAGATGGAAGAGCAGTCGCTGAGACAGAGTATTCCCTCAGCTGTTACTAGATGGAAGCTTCTTTGTCACTTACAACAGCTCTGAGTCCTTTGGGATACTTCTCTGCCAACTTCCCTTGCATTTGTTATATACAATATCTGAGTTTTATTTTAAAAAAAGGAACTGCAGGTGAGGTTCTGTTGATACCAATCTTAACTTGTAAACTTTACATCATGCATCATATGGATTTCTGGCTTTAATGAGGAGTTTTACCTATTTGTGCTGCACCAGTAATACCTACTTATATGTAGTTTTAGGCTGCTGAAGAGATGCTGAAGAAGAGAGCAGCATGCTGCAGTGTTTAATCAACATTAACTCTGTCTTTATAACACTGCTGTGCCAGTGTTACTCTTTACTGTAGCCTCAGCTCCTGCCAGGATATTGTAATGCATCCACAACCATTATTCGCAGTAAGAATGGTGTTTTTTGACATTCTAGTATGACACACTATAATCATTTTTGCGAAATTCACAAAACCATACGGCTGTCAGTGACAGATGTCTTCTGTGACACCTTACCATATGAGCCAGATTACTCGGGTGCTTGTTTACCAGAGCAGTATCATTTGTTCCAAGTTGCTGTCATCCTCCAGCCTCTAATTCTCCTCATTTTGTGTTCTAAATAGGGGGAAATAAATTATTCAGTTATGTTTTTTTATTGTTAATTAAGCATTGATGCACTATGGTTTGACATGTAGACAACTAAAGTTTCATGTCATTTTGAAGTTAAATAGGTTAATTTGAGGTATATTTGGACAGCTATTTGTTATTTTTCAACATTCCAGTAACTACTCTTCCCTTTGGATATTCCCTTTGGAGTCAGATGGCCAAAAGGGCAATTATTCCAAAGCATTTTAACTGCATTGAGGAAATAACTTTTAAAATCCTCCAGAAAAACTCATAAGTGTTGTTCAGGTTGTATAATCTAATGTGTAGTTTGTAGTAGAGATGTGTAATTACTCATAATTTATGAAAGACAGTATACGTTTGAGGTGTTTGTTCGTTACAAAATACGTAAAGGGGACTGAAAAGTGAAAAGAGAATTTGCTAGTCTGATCTGCTGGTTTAAACAGACCTATGGTGAAGACCAGGATAAAGTTTATGTGCTGACAGGTTCTTCTGAAGCATTTTGCTGAACCGCTTACTGACCTGGCCAAGAATAGTCAATGTCCTTAGTTGAATCACTGATTGAATGCCTGACTCCCCGTTGTTGTGAGGCAAATGTGGCAGAGGTTCAAAGGACAATAGTTTAAGCATTGTCATTTTGCAGATGTCAACAATACTGTTTGTTTGCTGTGGCTGCAACAATCACAAAAGACAAAGTGGATTAAAATTTCACCACTGAAAGCAGACTACTGCCATTAAGAAGGGCCGCTGTCCTACCGCTACTCAATAGCTAGTTACTAGGTGCAGGAATTACTAGAGGTCTTATGATCATTTTGATACTCAAAATATTGTCTTGATACTTGAGCCACTATATTATTCTATTGCTGTTTTTAAAAGACTTGTGACCAACTAAGCCAGGCTTACCAGGTCGTATTTAGACAGCAGCAATCTTTACTCTGTATTTCATCTTACCACATTACTTTTTACTTTTTATGCTGATATTCAACATATGGAAGATCACCAGCAGCATCCTCATAATTCATATTATTTGAAATGTCCCATTTTGTCCCTACTACTTTAAATTTGTCAGCTATAGCTCAGAGTGGAAAGTGCTATCTCTATTTTGACATGGCTGTGAAGCTATTAATGCTAATGGTCATACTAGTAAGGTAGCCTGGATTGGGAAATTGAAGCAGAGTGGTTTAATAGCAAGTGAATCAGATAGCTAGCTAAGTCAAGTAGCTGGAAGTAACATCACACCCAGCGAATATTGGTGTGAATAATGGTGCCTGGGGTTTATATTCTTAAAATTACAGTAGGTCTCTGATGTAAGGTTACAAATTATTTAATAAGTTGTATCATTTCATAATCACAGCCATATCTAACTAGCTTAACTTCAGTTAGGTTCATGTGTGGTAGTGCTAGTATAGTTTGCATATAGCCAGTGGCGTATACTGCCTCAATGACTCTGATTTTCGCTGATTTTAAAGCTCTTTCAAAGATAATAGAATCAAATGTTTTTCCCCCTGCAGAGCATAACATCTGTCATTTTTAATATAATGCAAGTCTTTAGGCCTGTTAGCTATCTGCCAAACCGCTCAACTTAGACCTAATTTACCCCTTAAACTGCAAGTGCCCTATGCTTCAATTCCTCACTCTTCAATCCCGCATTCTTGCATGGTGCTGTTTAGTGTGATTTCAGACATTTTACTTCATATACACGCAATTTGTGACTGCATATATAAGTTGCGATTCATGCATTTTTGACAGTTCTAACTTATTTAAACACATCAAATATTCAAAGTATATGAAAGCTAAAACAAGCTTGAATATCCATGAAATTAATTTTTGGATTCTTACTAATGAAATGTCTTGCTACAGCCCACAGATTGAGTATTGTTGCAGGAAAATGCAGTACACTTATGTAGTTGACATACAGACAAGCATTCATTTTACAGTGCAAAGAGAGAGTATTAATACATTGTATTAACATGTCTTTCTTTCACAACGTCACTAGCAAAGTTTGTATATCAGAGACTGGGTCCAACACTGTACTGCCATACTAAATAGCACACCACCTTTAGTAGTGCAACCATTGATATGCTATGTATAGTATAATGCGGTCATCACCAACCCTGCCTCTGAGAGAACTACCTTCCTGCAGACTTCAGCTTCAACCCTAATAGACCCCACCTGACCCATCTAATTATTGCCTTCAGATGCACCCTTGGTTAGCTGAAGGAGATGTCTTAGATGTATGCTGAAAGTGAAACCTCCAGGAACGTAGATCTCCAGGAGGAGCGTTGGTGACCACTGGTATAGTGGTATGTGGTTTTGGGTGCCGCCTGTGATTGAAATATTCTGCAATCCAATAAGCACTTTTTTGAGTAAAACCTGCCACCTATTGGAAACCTATACTGCCACCTATTGGAAACCCTATGTCTAGCACTAGTTTTCTATCCTCATACACTGCTTCTGGTCTGCAATGCACCAGCGTACCAGTGAATGGTCTCAATATGTGTCCTCTTTTTCCCCCATGTATTCCAGTATATCTTTAAATAAGGTATTTTGTACAGACTGTGTTTTTCAGAAAAATGAGTATATCTGTCTTAATCACATTACCAGCAAAGTACTTATTTGACCTCAGCAACTCATTTTACAGTACCATGCACTTGTTATGTTTCAATAGTTCAGAATTACAGAAATGATGCAATATCAAGAAAAAATAATCCAACCTCCCATATTATGGCATAATATAGTACATTTTAGTTCTAAAGTTTTCTGCACAGCTCAGGGCTCATTTTCAGACATGTTTAGTGATTCACCATTGAAAATATCTATTATTATTATTATTATTATTATTATTATTATCATTATTATTATTATTATCATTATAGGTTTAGGCCTGGAATCCAACACTAAATGTTTTATCTTCTGAAAAAAAAGCAACAAACCCCCCCCCCACAAAACTATTAATAATTGGGTCGAAAATTGTATTATATCACCTTACAGGAACTGGCTGTGATCATTTTACTGCTCCATTTAAAGTTTCTTAAGAACAAGTTGTGACATCTCTACCTCATCTTTTCAGTACAAGTAACCAGTATAACACACTGTATTTCATATAAAAGGGTTAGCTTCAGTCACTCTTTCATCAACGCTGTATTTCTGAGTACTGGTTTTTCATAGCTATCCTAAAGTGAGCAATATAAATAATTAAACAAATGCTTTAAAACAATTTTACTGCATATTTTCATAATCATAAAGCTCACATACCTTTTGTTACTTTATTTCATACTTTCATGTTTCTGCCCATTTTTGAAAAGCTTTCTTTTTCTCCCTGTTTTTGCAACATACCATAATGCACTGCAGTTTTCGGATTCTGAGAGACCTCAGGTTTGTCTCCTATGTTTGTCCTGTTTATTTGCTTATTAGTATTGGTGCCATGTTTTCATATTTGTGTATGTATATAGTAATTATTTTAATACTAAGTAGCAGTTACTTGTCATGTAAGGTGATAAAACTAAACAAAATCTGTCTGCCTAGCTAATTAGTCTAGCCCTTCACAATTACTCTCTCTATATATCTTGATATTTTCACTGTGGTAACAAATCCTTGTATCTGTGAAATGAAAACTTTATAGAAGAAGGGAAAAAAGTTTTTTTTCTTGAATGTATATTAATATAACTGGTTTTTATTCCAAGTACTGTTGGATGATTTTTACTGGTCCATTCATCATGACATTTTCTCAAATGGTAAAAAAGGTAAACAAATGGAATTACAAGGCTTTGAAATTACAGTGACAATATATGTATGTATATATCTATGTATGCAAAAGTTTGAACACCCCTGGTGAAATTTCATGTTTTGCAAAATTCGTGAAAAAAGGTTAACACGTCCTCTACAGGGAACAACGTGTAGAAGTGTGCTCTCTGTAGAGGATGTGTACTTATTTTCACTTAGAAATTCAACAGAACATGTAACTTGACCAGGTCATCCAAACTTTTGCATACAACTGTATATCTGTATTTTACCATCTCTTTACTTTCCTCTCTCAGCACCTTCAGATGACCATCCAGACTTTACAGGAGGAGCTCCGTACACAAAGGGATTTGAATCAGCTCCTGCAGCAGGAGAACCGTACAGGCCCATCTGACTCTACGTCTGACTGCTTCCCTGTCCTGGAGCTCACTGAGGACAACTTCCATCATCTACAGGCTGAGCATGAGCGGCAAGCGAAGGAGCTCTTCCTTCTGAGGAAAACTCTGGAGGAGATGGAGCTCCGCATTGAGACCCAGAAACAGACACTGACTGCACGGGATGAGTCTATCAAAAAGCTGTTGGAGATGCTTCAGAACAAGGGCCTCCCCAGGTCTGGGCTGCCTGACGAAGAGGGTCTGAGGGTCAGACGTGAGGCTGAGGAACAGCTGGGCCACCTGGAGATCATTCTGGAGCAGAAAGAGAAGGAGAACATGCACCTAAGAGAGGTGAGTTATGAGACTGTGATTATTAAGAGTGATATGCCTTAAATGTACCTGCACAAACTAATGGATAAGAAAAATGAAGCACGAAGCATAACTGTAGCATAATGCAGTGGTTTACAGTTTGGGCTCTGAAGGACTCCTCATTCAGTACATCAATTCTGTAATCTCTAAAGATCTACATTTTCTAGATTAAGTGTGCTCCAGGGCTCCACCATGACCTTCCATTGAAAACACATTAGGGATCATTTACACACTTCTACACACTTCTTCACTTCCACAGACTGGTGACAAATGAAAAGAAAAGCCAACAAGCTTCTACAAGTGTCTGAAACTGTACTGGAAAATCATTCTTCCAAAAGATACTCCCTCAATTAATGTTTTGATGATGGTGGTGGAGAGTGCTGTCTAACAGTTCAGTTCAAAATCCCCCATAGATGTTCAGTTGGGTTGGGATCATTTTTCATCATTTTCATACTCATCAACCCATTCAGTGACCCCTCGTGCCCTGTGGATGGGGGCCTTGTCAATCTGGGAGAGTCTATTTCCATCAAGATAGAAATGTTTTATCAGAAGATTAAGGTAATCAGTCAGAATAACTTTGTATTTATCTGCATTGACCCTTCCCTCTAAACTCTGCTGTGGATGACCTGCAATACCAGTTGTCTTATATATTTATTTGATATCACACTGCATAAGATTCTACAAATAAATCTTGGACAGACTGCGAATTCAGTTATACTGCAGTTCAGATTATAAGATAAAGATCTTCTGGTGATAGATCTATGATGCAAGAAAATGACAATGTTCTGCATGTGCCGTTTTTTTGTCAAAAACTAGCATCACACAACCAAAAAAAGCCCTCTGCATTATTTTTTGCTTGTAAAAACAAATAACTTGTGAGCGGTAAAGTTCATCTCTCTTTCTCTCTCTCTCACACACACACACACACACTCACACACACACACACACACACACACACACATTTCATTCCAAGCCGCTCACTATTGGTTGCTTTTTAGACGTGTGTCATAGCAGGGGTCACATTGTGAGATTTTGGAACCAAAATGTCTGACCCTTCCAAAACTTTATCGCAGGCTGTCTTTGGTCGCAAGGGCAGTAAATTGGCCGCTGTGGAGCATGTCTCATTAAACATTTAACGACAGCCATGCTGCAACAGACTGCAATGGCATTGTCATGATGAAAATCATACAGTGAAGCCCATCTTAAGGGTTTGGTGGACCCAAATCACGCCAGCAGAAAGCCCACCATAGCATAAAAGAGTCAATGGATGTGGAGCGCCATTTAGGCCTGTAGTGTTCTCGTCAAGTTACTTAGGTCTTTTCCTCTTGCCATGTTGATCCAAAGTCAAGGTCAGCTGGGCCTGCTCAGCATTTTTTTTCATGCCACAGAGCATGATAGGGTGTTTATTGCTTAATTGTATCATGCCACACACCTTTCTGAAACCATCTGCGTTTCTCCACTCATTTATCCAGGCCTCTTCTTTATTGTGTCACCCATCTGCATACTATGTAAAAATTCATTACCATGTAGCATTATGAATCCCTTTATGAATCCCATGACCACACATGCCCACTTATGGTCACATGTAGTTCTTGTAAGTTAATGAGCTAATATTTTTATAAATGTGTCCTGTTGTGTCATTTCAAATGATAATACTTTGCAAGGAAAAGAAATTTACTTTCAGTTCTATTTTAGCTATTTACATTTAGTTCCTACTTTCTTTTTTTGTCTTTAATTTCCATCTGGTCTGTCGGTGACAGCACCTGGATCGCTTTGCAGCTGCTCACACTTCTCACTTTCGAGTTTTATTTTAGACGCCTAACAAACTGACAGAGACTTAGTACTTTGTTTTCTTTACTCCTACACAAGTTTTTTGGATTCTACTTTTACTTCTACTTGAGTGATTATTTCATTAAAGTAACTATACTTTTATTTGAGAATTGTTTTAGGCCTCCTTGCCTTCCTCTGTATGGGCCTAGCACTGAAGATGCCTCAGGCAGCACCACTTCTACATTTAAAGGGGATATTTTATGAAATGTTGTATTGTAGAGGAACTTGTTGACTTTTTTTTTTACTATTGTGGTGATAGAACGTTGTGGTTGTGATGTCTACAAAGCAAGCAATGCTATTTTATTTACTATCCAAAAAGACCTGTGAACCTACACATGTCCTCTGAATTTTAATATGTAATTGATTGATTAATATGTAGTTGATTCTGGTAAAATACACGGGTGCGCTATGATAGTGCGCTATGATACTATGATAGCAATGCACGTCCTGGGGGAGGCGCTGCTCTAATGCAGTGCTGCCTCTGCTGTGCTACCAGAGAATTACTAAGGTAATGTGAGAAGTGGAACCCCCGGCCTGGTCAATCATATCAGACCTTGTAAGTTGTAAGCCAGTGATGTCAGACCTTGAGGAGGGTCTCTGGTTTTACTTGATCTGAAAGTAACTCAAGTTGGCAACTTGGTGTTGATTATAATGCAATTTTATCTTAACCTGTAGATGGATATTAAGAGGCGGCAGCTCAGATGTTTTATACCAGTTAAAACAAAACAAAAAAGAATGATCTCTCATTTTCTTGAGTTCTTGTAAATCTGAGTTTAATTAAAATAAAAAATTACTAGACACAACAAGAGAGGAAGAGAAAGAAGCTGAAGGTGCAGAACTGGTGGGGGTTGGTGATCAAGAAGGAATAGAGGGAGAGATGTTTAAGCTTTCAGGTAAAATCATTGTTACATTTAACTGAACTTAACTGAGAAACTATTTGTCACTATGACCACAGTAAGGCAAAATCACACTCTTTCTGATTGCACCAGCTAAGACTGACCTGATCTGTAATCTGTGTAGTTGAATATCAATAAAATCAGTGGAATTCCCGGTTTAACACTGCGGCTCTCCGTGTCCCGTACTATACTCTCCTCACTCTCCCTCCTACGGGTTCTAACAGGTATTGAGAGCCCAGAAATAGCCCTGTGCCGTGGCACCGTCAAGAGGACGTTTATTTTTACCCCCTAAATCCTCTTAGCGTTTCATTTCTTTACCTCTGTCGCCATCGGTCTCATTCTGTGTGGTAACTGTAAGAATGAACGAAATCCTCCCTCCTCTCTGCCGAGCCGTTGCTGGCAGTTCCCGCGTTTTGACTGCTTCGTGACCTCACGCGCGAGGACAGGAGTTCTAGAAGCTTCAAGCGTGGCTGTGAGAAACGTTAGGAGAAATGTCCTTTTGTGTAACTTTATAGTTTACTCTTAGTTTATTTAGTGTGTGTGTGTGTGTGTGTGTGTGTCTTTGGGGGAGGGCAGCGACGCGTGTTGAGTCTGGACACCGCTGGAGGTGAGTGGCTGTGTTTGCTTGCAGGGTTTTAGCGTCGTGTTTATTCGGTGGATAAACACGGTCTGTCTCGGCGAATATTAAGCCCATGATTAATGAGGGAAAACACTCCGGCTGCGCTGATTGAGAGAAGTGAGGGAATGTTTTTGCATTACTTTTCTGTCTTCAGCGGTGGCGCTTAAGTGAAGGAGAGTGAGAGAGTGAGTGAGTGAGAATGTATGTGTGTGAATACTTCGTTAAGTTGCCCACACCTTGTTTTGACGGGACGGAACCCCTGTCAGTGTAGCCTCATAACTAGCTACTTCATGGACCCCGCTTGTCAGCAGTTTCCCTGCTCTAATAACGGTCATCGTTAACCTTGGCCTAATGACGACAGAAGGCTGTAGTCTATTGTAAAGTGCTACCCTTCATTAATTTAACCAGTCGCTGTGGAAGCGAAAGGAAAGCTTTCCATTACCCTTCTCATTACTCTAATTACACCGTGCCCATTTTGGCTTGATAGTAGGGGTAAATGCCACCATTTCCTCTATTTGCGTTTAATTTTTTAATTTTTCATTTTTTTATATATATGTTTAAAAAACACAGTATTCATTTAAAACTACTGCCTCCAAGTTGACTACACCTTGGTTAATGTAGTATGTGATGCCATTCCAGGTTATGCAGGGGTGGGTAGTAACTAGTTACCATATGTACACAGTTTAGACCAAACACTGGCTCTAAAGAGTGCCTTTCACTTTTTTACCTTGAAGCAGCAGCTTTAATTTGGTGGTGCTTTAGCACTGGTTGGAAGATGTAGAAAGAAGAAGAATCAGTGGTTGCTGCCACTGTTGGCTAAACAGTTATTGCTGTGAGAAGTTTAAAAACCCAAATTTTGACAAAGGAAGGGTCATACTTATTATTTAGCAGAAGAAAAAGTAAGGGAGGGTGAATCCTCATCATCAAAAAAGTAAAAACATGAAGAAGCAAACGAAATCGGGATGGGCGACAGCAAAAAACAAGGATAAACACTGGTTAGTGTGTTTTTAGGGCAGTGTTTCTCAACCCTGGTCCTGGAGACCCACTGTGCTGCACCTTTTAGTGCTTTCCTTGCTTCAGTACACCCACTTCAGCTGAGTAAGGGCTTCTTAATGGGCTGATTATTTGGATCAGGTGTGTTGGGAGCAGGGAAACTCTAAAAAGTGCGGGACAGTGGGCCTCCAGGACCAGGTTTGAGAAACATTGATTTAGGGTACTAGTCTACCTGACAGCCAACGTAGGTTCTACTACATGCTTGGAAAGGGAGGGGTTTTCAGTCAACACTAGATGCCACTAAATCTTACGCACCACACCTTTAAATACAAATCAGATTTAATGTTGTGTCCAGCTAAATGTTTCTTAGTCAGTTGTTCATGAACATATCTGGTGTCTGTAGGAAAGGATCTTCTCAGTCTAAGAAGCACAACCTTCTCATTACTTTCCACTGGGGATACACAATCGGAATCATTCAATGACAACATGCCTCGTACATTTGAGGTAGCACTTTATTTGAAATGCAAACTGTAAAACTGTACTATGCACAGTGAACAGAAACTCTGCTGACTACTTTGGGGTTCCGCTTATACGAAATGGACAGCTGCACAATGGAAATGTGTACTGTGGTCTGACGAGTAAAC